TATTTAAAATTTACATTTGTGTAATGTGTGTGCATATAGTGGGCACGTGTGCTGGCGATTGTGTGGTCAGAGGGCAGCTCACAGGGGTCACTCTTCACCCCCCATCATGTGGATCCCAGGGATCAGACACTGGTCCTCGAGCTCAGAGGCGAGTTCCTTTACCTGACGAACCATCTCACCAGCCCTTTAATAATTCTTTAAAAACATCTTCAAAGTGTTCTCCCTTTAAGCAACCATGTTCCTGTGGTTTACACAGAGCTGATTAAAAGGCATTGTTAGATTTGAGAGTGTTTCAGTATGAATTCTGAGTCCTTACTTGTTGGTGCATTTCTTGGGGAGGTTCAGGTTGAGTTGGTCTAGGGGTGCAGACACAGTAGAGAGCTGCCAGACTTGCAGGGAGCTTCAGGAAGACTTTGTCATCATTGCCAGGGTGTGCACATGGAGTCAAGGGGAGTCACTTACCTTCTGTCTAGTACCACATCCATTGCCGTACCTAGACTAGAAAGGGCAGCCCCACGCCCAGCAACGGTTCCTTCAGCTGAGCAATGGCAGTGCACTGCACGCCTCAGAGGCCTGAGAGTCGAGTGTTAAGACCAGCCTGGAATCCGTAGTGAGTGTCTGTCTCTAAACGAGGCCGAATCAGAGCAATCACTTGGCCAGTTCCAGCTGCCAGTCCCTCTTGGTTGAGAGCTCCTTAGTAACAGCTCCCCAGGGAGGAGCAGAGCAGAGTTAAGATCTGTTTTGTCCTCCGAGGGCCGCTGGAAGACATCCAGGTCCTTTAATGTCACTTTCTCCTTGTGTGTCTTTCCCTCGACATTAGCAGCCCAATGCCTGTGTGGATGGTTCTGCATACCTTGCTTTTACTTTCTGTGTTGAACTTGTTTTAAGAAAAACCTAGCTGTGTAGACCAGGCTGACTTCAAATTCATTATCCTCTTGCCTCAGCTTCCCAGTAGCCAGGAGTATAGGTAGCTACTGTTTAAATGTTTTCTAAGACTTGAGAAAAGAAAGAAACCTACTGATTTGTAAAACCAAATTAGGTAACTTTATGGGGATAAAACTCAGGCCCAGTTCATCAAAAAGAGCCCATGTGCTCTCATCACAGTGCAGTGGGCTTCATCTTCACCTTGACCTGTGCACTCAAAACACAGGCTCTCCTTCAGAGTCTTGCTCCAAAAAATACTTTTTCTAGACTATGCCTTTTCTTCTAAGCTTTTTGTTGTATGTCTATGAGTGTTTTGCCTGCTTGTATGTATATGTACCATGAGTACTTCGTGTCCCCAGGGGTCAGAAGAGGGCATTGGGTTCCCTGAAACTGCAGTTACAGATGGTGGTACCCCACCATGTGGATGCTGGGACCAACGCCAGGTTCTCTGCAAAGACAGCTAGTGAGTGCTCTGAGCTACAGCACCACCTCTGCAGCCTCTGTAGGATTGTTTTCAGAACTTGTGTTCTGTTGACAAAGAATTTCCTCAGCACTTTCATAGGAAATATGCCCATGAAATGTACAACTGGAAGACTGGAAAGGAAGTGCTTATGAGCAGCCACTTGGAAGTGTAATAATCACATTTTTTAAAATGTTCTACTTATCCTTGATAAACCTTTTACTTTGACTAAAATTGTTTTCTTTCTGAAATTAAGTTTAGATAATTTAAAAATCTGTTAGAATTTTTAAAATCTGACCAGAAAAAAAAAGCCGGGCGGTGGTGGCGCACGCCTTTAATCCCAGCACTCGGGAGGCAGAGGCAGGCGGATCTCTGTGAGTTCAAGGCCAGCCTGGGCTACCAAGTGAGTTCCAGGAAAGGCGCAAAGCTACACAGAGAAACCCTATCTCGAAAAAAAAAAAAAGGAATTTTTAAAATCTGCACATCTTTTTAATTCCTTCTCAAATAAGTTCACATTTAAAAATTATTTCTTTTCTGGAGCCATAATGTAGAGCAAGCACTTCAAATGTGAAACAGCAAATATTGGTATATTCTGACACTTGATGTCACTGTATAGCAGTGCCCTAGGTTCGTGTTCAGGATGACACAGCGTCCCTTGTGCACAGTGGCTTTTCCTAAGAAAAGCAGCCTGACAGGTAAGGTGTGCAGTCAGGAGCAAAGACAAGGTCTTTCCTTCCTCTTGCTCCGTTGGAGTTCATGGAGCTTTATTTCACATACTCAGATCCCAAGGTCTTAGAAACATGAGCTCACCTGTCAGTTTCTCTAGTTGCCCTGTGCTCTTGATTATTTTAGTAGCTTTTATTTGACTTTATCTCTAAATGTCTTATTGGTGTAGCCTTATTTTATGAGAAGTACAAATAATGGCAAGATGTAATAAAGTCACCTGTAATTAGCTTGATTTGTGATAATTAAAAGCTGCCAAATGGCCAGAGGAAAGTTCAGAGTCTTATTATACCTCAGTCTGCCTGAGTATCACAAGTTAGGAGTGTGTGTTTTCTTTCTTTGTTGACATGGCACCTGTCTATATGCTGTGCTTTGGCGTTGCCATCCCACATTCCCTTCATTCCTCTCCCATGGAAGCCATCCTTCCTAACAAGCCCCACCACTTAGAATGTTGTTGAGGTTTTTGGGTGGTGGGTTGGTTTGTTTGTTTGTTTGTTTGTTTGTTTGTTTGTTTGTTTGTTTTTGAGACAGGGTTTATCTGTGTGATCCTGGCTGTCCTGGAACTTGCTTTGTAGACCAAGGCGACTTTGAACTCAGGGATCTACCTATCTCTGCCTCCTGAGTGCTGGGATTAAAGGTGTGGACCACCACGCCTGGCTTGTTAGTTTTAGGGAATGTTTCTGTTGACTCCTTGAGGTTGGCGTTCCTTTCTTCTACCCTTCATGTTGTGCCTGCATGCCACTTCAGTTGTCTGCACTGTAACTGAGGGTCAGGACTGGACAGACCACACTGACATTATTAAACATACTGCATTGCTTTCTTTGTGTGTGTGGAGTTTGTATGTGAGGCAGTGCTGGTACGCATACATGTGTGTACATGTGTGTGGAGGCTGGAGGATGTCTCCAGGATTATTTATTCCTCAGGAGCTCTCCTCCTTTCTTTTTCTTTGAGGCAGGGTCTCTCACTGACCTAGAACTCCCCAGGTAGGCATAGCTGGCTCCCTCCCTCCCTTCCCCCCACCCCATCTGGCCAGTTTACTGTTTGTTTTGTTTTATGGAGATTGAACTCGAACTCAGGTCCTCATGACTGTGAAGCAAGTACATTACCAGCTGAGCTGCCTTCCAGGCCTTCAGTGCACAGCTTCTTACTTCACATTTTCTTCTTTGTTGATTTTATGACTCTTGATTTAGTTCCACCCTGTATTTATACTTCATCTGTCCTGATCTAGGGCCATGTTGATCGAATTATGCAGTTTATTACCATGCTTATCCTCATTTTACTATTTTAAAAGATAGTCAATTTAAGTGCCAGGATGACAGCTTTAGAAAAACTTGTTAAACCTGTAAAAATTCAGACAGAAGAAATTAACAGTGAAGTTGTTTCAAGATTGGATCATAAGGTTACAGAAAGAAAGCCTGTTTTCACACAGTCACCCTTAATTTATCCTGTAACCGTACAGCAGCAGTTGCCTAATCAAATGACTACACAAAATATCTGGGCTCCAATTGAAATGTTGGATTTACGAAGGTTTAAGGAGGCAATCATATCTTATGGCATGCATTCCCCATATGTAAAGCAAATGTTAAACTCTTAGTCAACATATAATAGGATTACACCACAGGACTCAGGGGAGCTGGCACAGGCTGTTCTGGAACCCAGTCAAAGGCTTCAGTGGCTAACTTGATTCAAGGATGAAACTAAAAACATAGAAGACCTAGAGGACTGTACATACAGGCAGTGACGAGGCAGTCATGTGTTTGGGTTGACAACCAATGAGAAGGCAGAACAGAAAGGCTATATAAAGACAAACACACAGGAAGTAGGTCCCTTTCGGAGAGGTCTCTTGGCTTAAGAGGCTAGCTGCAGCAGGCGGTAAGGCTCTTAGCTCTGATCTCTTGGCTTTCTTCTTTGCATTGGTTCTGTGTTTCTTATTTAATAAGATGGTTGGTTACATCTACAGGGCCAGGCCTATCATCTGTCCCCTCAGCACTAGCCTAATGCTCTTTGCTCTTGATCATAGTAGACCCTGCCAGCTGGAATAGCTGATGATCACAAAGTAGGAAGAACATCGTTCCCTCGCTGTGATTTCTCTCACCTTTGTTACAGGAGCTGCCAATTTGCACTGTGCCCCATCCTCTCCTGGACTTCAGAATGCCATCCTCTCTAGGCTGCCTTTCCTGCTTTCAGTATTTAGTCTTCATCAGAATTCCAGGGAAGGGATTATCTCTATTACCCAGAGTAGGAAGCTTAAGCGTTAGGGAAAAACTGCTTAAGGTGTCTACCTTTGGGATAGACCCAGGAAATAGTCCAAGAATGTTGCAGATCAGACTGGGTTCCCAGCACCCTTTACAAGAAGGTGGGAGTGGTGACACTGATCTGAGAACAGTGTGCAGGACGTTTGCTCCTGCTGACGACCACTATGCTGGGTTGCTCTGCATTCTTAGATACACAGCCACATACATAGTCCTGTCACTGAGAAGCATGGCTGCTCACCCAGATAGGTATGTTGTTGATGCATACTGGATGTCTGCCCAGAAGCAACTCTGTAGCCATGCATTCAGATGGGTCTGAAGGGGATTGAACCAACAGGGAAAACACCCAGAAGTTGGCTTTTCTGTTGTAGGCTATTCATGAGCATCTCTGTCTGGCACTGTGCTTATTACAAGACATGCAGTGGATGCGCAAAACATGGCCTTCCCAGGAAAAGTGGGTTTCTGTTAGAATAGGAATGAATGTGCTTTCGCTGTGGCTCCCTTTGCCGGATGAAATCCACAGGTCCTCTGGCAAGAACCACATGCATGCACTTACAACAAGCTCCTGTAGTGGAAGGCCTGGCCATTCTGTGGCTTTAGAAGATGAGTCTAGTAACTGTTTCTTTTTTTTTTTCTTCCAGACCCCCTCAGCTGTGAACAAGATAAAACAGCTTCTTAAAGACAAGCCAGAGCATGTAAGTAACACCTGTGGAAGGGTTGGCAGAGCTAAAGTTCTGTTCTCATTACAAAGGCATTTTGTTGCAAATAATATGTTTTCATTAATTAAGGTGTTTGGTTTTGTTAGCTTTTACATTGCTAAGGGCTCAACCTCCTGGCTTCACTCACCCCAGGCAAGTACAGGGAGCTGTACCCAAATTCTTGAATCACACAGGGAGAGCTTTTCCATAGAAAGCAGCTACTCACCACTCAAAACCCTAGACAACCAAGACATTGTCACTCATGCCAGATGCAGTCTGAGCTCGTCTGTGTGCTCACTGTATCTGGGCACTCCCCTGCCTCCACTGTATGCCTTAGGGTGGCTGAGGATATTCTGGAGGGTCTCTGGCCTCTGCTGCATGGCAATAGCACCCTCTTTCTTCCTAAGTTGTAACAACCAAAAATGGCCTGCATGGTACTTGTTCTTATGTGCATCTCTCACTTCTTCCATAGACAGCAGCATACAGAACATGCTTGGTTACACTTCTGTTCTTTACCCTAATAATTCAGCCTGAAGACCTTCCAGATCATTTTCTAAAGGTCTGCTCCTTTTCATGACTGCACATATTCTACCCAGCAGTTTTGATTCATTCAACTAATCCTTTGTATGAAAGACTGCCACAGATTTCATTTACCAGCTGTAGGTGAATTGAGCCATGCCCACAGGGTAGTTGAGTTAGATTTGTGAATCACTTCAGGCTGCGGCCTGTGCATAGTGGTTCTGAGATTGTTTTCTGGATTTTCTTGTGCTACATGACTGGTCTTCTCGCACCTCCATCCTAAAAGCTGTTAAATGTTGATAGGTTTCAGTGTTCTGACTCTGGACTTTCTAGCACATAAATTGACCAAAAATTCCATGAAATTAGCCTTGTAGGTATGTAAGGTATTTGTTCTTATTGGTGTAAAAATGTGAAATTTACAGCATTAACAATCCCTTTCCCAAAACACCTATTACCTAAACCTTCCTGGACTGGAATTGTATGGGCTACCTTTGAACTCATAGGAGATCCATCCGTCTCTTCCTCCTGAGTCCTGGGGTCACAGGTGTGAGCCGCCATGCCTGCTTAAACCTGAATTTTCAGATACTGAGGAGGGTTACTGTTTGTTTTTGCTTCTTGTGTTTCTGGGAGTGAGCGTAGGACTTCAGACATACTAGGCAAAGCTCTTCTGCAGAGCTACACCCCTCACCCTGTCTTTGAGCACTCCAATGTCCACTGCCTAATGTCTGGACTTCCTGATTACAGAGGTAGAAACTAAAGCCTGCGCTCCAGAAATTCATCAGGCAGCTTATTCCCATTCAGAATAATGAAGCCCCTCATCCTAAGCTTTGCAGTCAAGCTCTTGAAACAAGCACGCCTTTAAGGGTTTCACAGAATTGGAGGGCTCTGGTGGGACAGGACTTAGGGTAGTAGTACTTGACTGTTACTTAAAAGGCAGGCACCAAGACTGAGAGTAGGTAGATATTGTTAGCAAACCCCAGTGATATGCTGTGCTGGCTAGGTTTATGTCAGCTGGACACAAGCTAGAGTCACCTGAGAGGAGGGAGCCTCAGTTGTGAAAAGTCTCTATAAGATCGGGCTGTAGGCAAGCCTGCAGGGCATTTTCTTAATTCGTGATTGATTGGGAGTGGGGGTAGCTTATTTTTGGTGGTTGTGTCCCCAGCCTGGTCATCCTAGGTACTGTAAGAAAGTAGTTTGAGCAATTCATGAGGACCACAGCAAACCAGTACTCAGCACCCTCCACAGCCTCTGCATCAGCTCCTGCCTCCACCATCCCCCTCCCATCCCCACACACAAATTTTTAACTTCTGTGGTCTTTGCCTTCCTGGTATGTTGGAAATGTTTTACCGGACTGCCTTAGAAAGGAGGCTCCTGTCCAGAGGCAGGATGGTTGCCAGGTGACAGGATGAACCTTAGTGCTCACTAACCATGGAACCCTCCAGAAAGTATCTCACAGAACAAAGTGGAGCTGAACCTCTTAAAGGAAATCTAGGTTTTAAAGTCAAAATCTACCATCAAATACCTTTTAAAAAGAAAAGAGGTGGCACACCTCTAATCCCAGCACTGGGGAGGCAGAGGCAGGTGAGTCTGAGTTCGAGGCCAGCCTGATGTACAATTCAAGTTCCAGGACAGCCAGGGCTACATAGAGAAACCTGTCTTGAAAAACCAGAAGGAGAAAAGAAAAGCCAGATGTGGTTGTGCATGAGCTCATTACCCCAGGCTGTGAGCAGTAGAAACTGGCAGGATGTGAATCCAGGGCAAGGCAGGGCTACAAAGCAGGTTGATACCATTTTTGACACCCTGTGTTTAAAAAGTAAAAGAAGCCAGATGTGGTAATGTACACCATGATCCCAGCACTTTGAAGGATGAAACAGGTGGATGGTGAATTTGAAACCAGCCTGGACTGCAAAAAAAAAAAAAAAAAAAAAAAAAAGCAGCTGGTATTCATAGCTCCAGAAGAGCATTGTGCTCTCATCACTTCCAAACTATAGTTAAGAAAGCAGACACTGAAACCATGTAAAGCCATAAAATAGAACAGAGTACAACTTTTAATATGCTGTAATAAAAACTGTGCAGATGCAACCAGGCCTGAGGAAACACAGAAAAGCTGCTCTCCTGGACAGCAGTGGTTGTGCAGTTCTTCCTGTCTGCGTTTTCAGTGTCGTTTTAAATGCATGTTTCCCATTCCATTTGTTCTTCTATAGGGGCATTTTACAACCAGAAACCTATTACTTACCACTGGTTTAGGAGAAAATGAATAGTGGTAATAAATATCTTTTTTTGTTTTTTCGAGACAGGGTTTCTCTGTGTAGTTTTGCGCCTTTCCTGGAACTCACTCTGTAGACCAGGCTGGCCTGGAACTCACAGAGATCCACCTGCCTCTGCCTCCCAAGTGCTGGGATTAAAGACATGCGCCACCACTGCCTGGCTGGTAATAAATATCAAAGGTTGCTTTTTGTTGTTGTTGTTGTGTGTGCAGGTTATCTGTTTGTATTAGTACTTTGATATTTGTGTGCATGTGTCTGGGGCCAGAGGTCAACCTTAGGGGTCATCCACCCTGATTGGAGACATGGTTTCTTGTTGGTCTGGACCTCAGGAGATAGACCAGACTGACTGGTCAGCAAGCCCCAGAAATGGCCTGTCTGTGCCCCCTCCCCAGCACAGGTACAGGCATGGGTCGCTGTAATGGGCCTTTTCATCTGGATTCTGGAAATCTGCCATAGGTTCTTGTGCACTTTACTGAGCTAATGCAGCTCTCATTGATTTTTCTCAAGACCGAGCCTTGCTCTTTAGACCGGGCTGGCTCCAGCCTGCTACAGTCCTGTTCCTCAGCCTCCCAAGCAAGTGCTGGGATTCAGGATGTAAGTCATCATGCAAAGTTTATTTATGTTCTCAATTCTTTTCAGGTGGGTCTGAAAGTTGGTGTGCGAACCAGGGGCTGTAATGGCCTCTCTTACACCCTAGAGTATACAAAGACAAAAGGAGATTCTGATGAAGAAGTTATTCAAGATGGTAAGCTCTCTTCTCTTTTTGAGATTGGTTCTTTTGTAGCCTAGGCTAGCCCTGAACTCCTTATGTAGCTGGGTGTAGGGAATGACATTAATTCCTGCTCCACTACCCAGTGGTGGGGTATAAGTATGCACCCCCACACTGGATCTGGTAAGTAATGGAGTTTTGGGGGGTTTGGCTTTGGTTTGTTTGTTTGTTTGTTTGTTTGTTTGTTTGTTCTTTAACATTTTATGGGCACTTTGTCCTGATGAAAACTTTTATCCCTGTGCAAAGCTGATGTAAAGACTGCTGTCTGTGTTAGGAGTGGTGCTTCTTACGTGCCCAGCATTGGCAGACAGACATTCATTATCAAACTATGTGCAGCCACTGAAAGGAGAGAGGTGACATTTTTCCTGGCTTCTGTTGAAGAACCTGGTACAAGGAGAGATTCGGTAGCTGGGAAGCCCAAGGTTTCACAGTGAAAGGACCCAGTGAAGCTTTGAACCAGTTTTAAGGGTTTGGAGGAGTTGTGTTTTGTTTCGGCTCTAAAGGTCATCACTGTGAAAGGTTTTGGCTTGTTTTTGTCCCGGTTTTTTTTAAGACAGGGCCTTCACTATGTGGCCCAGTTTCAGACTCTTGATTCTCCTTCCCATACATCTTAGTCCTGGAATTACAGAGTGTTGCTGTGACTGCTGAGGATCAAGTTCATCCTCACAGGTTTTTAAATGTTGTATTAGCATATGAAGTCAGAGGACAACTTTTGAGAGTTGGTTCTCTTCCTTCACCATGAATTCGGGGTATCAAAACTCAGGTAGTCAGCTCCTTTTACCCCCTGAACCTCTCACCACACACACAGATTTTAAGACCAAAAGTAAACCATCCAGCCATTTCTGTTGAAACAGTTTGGTGTGGGTGTGGTTGTGGGTGTTGGTGTAGATTCCTGTTCCTGTGGAGGCCAGAGGTGTCAGATCCCCTGGAGCTGGAAGGACAGGCGGTTGTGAGCTAGCTGCCTGAGATGGGTTCTGGGAACCAGGCTTGGTTCTCTGCAAGAGCAGCACATGCTCTCCAGCTACCACTTAACTTTTGAGGCCTTGTTTTTTAGTTTTTCAGTTATTGCATTTGATACCAACCCCTGTCACCTACCAAAGAGTGAGGTACAGTGTCCCAGACTTAATATCACTACCATTGGCAATGGGGATCTTAAGTTTGGGGTTCAAGATAAGGTCAGGCCAGCCTGGGCTAGCAAGATCCTGTGTGAGACAAGAAACAACACTGCAACCCTGGAGAAAGGGAGAGCCACAGGCTTTGCAGGCTTGTGCACTGGAGACCTGTGAGTAGCTTGCAGCCCCTTTTGTGTGAGACAAGCAGGAATTATTCCCAACTGTGCCTCCATCATATTTAACTGAAGTAATTAACCAATAAAGACCTTTTTAAAATTATAAATAAATGGGAGCTAGAGAGATGCTCAGAGGTTAAGCGCTTTTCCAGTTCCCAGCACCCACATAGTGACTCACAGCCATCTGTAACTTTTGTTCTAACACCCTCTTCTGGCTTCCACAGGCAATGAGCACATACCTACAGGCAAAACACCATACACATGAAAAATCTTAGAAAATAACATCAGTTCAAAAATAAGCCTCAGTTGCTCCCCTACAGAGGAAAGGACTTGTAGTGTATGTTCATGTTTAAGTGATGTCTTGTAAGGAAAAACATGTTTTTGTGTTTTCAAGAGGTTGGTCTCTCCTTCACAGTGACTAGGGAATATTACTCATTTTTAAGGCCATCAGCAGATTACAGCTCTGGGTCCCGTGGGCGTTTTCTGAAGTCCACATCTCATTATGTGGTCTTGGTTTATATAGTCTGGTTAGAAATGCACCATGGAATAATGGTTCTGTGGGTGTTTTTACCTGACAGGGTCAGGCACAGATGGTCCCAGAAATCTCATTAATGCTGTCATTAAAAAACTCAGAGAATTACACGTTTCTCTGTAGCAGATTGAGGGGGAGGGGATGAGTAAAATACAGTGAAAAGCAAACCAGTTTTGCAGAAATGCCTTGGGATTTCCATATGTAAAAGGGTCCTCCCTATTATGATTGGTTGGGCACAGACTGGGCTGGTGGGCAGCTGTGTACTTCCTGTAAGGAACCCTGGGCTTGCCCAGAAGCTGTAGGGTTACCGATGACACCCACTGGAAACTCACTGGCAGGTTCTGCACCCCGAAAGCTTCATGTCTAATGTGTTTTCTTTTCCCCAAGGAGTCAGAGTGTTCATCGAAAAGAAAGCACAGTTAACACTTTTAGGAACAGAAATGGACTATGTGGAAGACAAACTGTCCAGTGAGTTTGTTTTCAATAACCCCAACATCAAAGGGACTTGTGGCTGTGGTGAAAGCTTTAACATTTGAAACCTCAGGACTCCAAGCTCCGGGAGAGCCGGGATCTACCTGGGAGCTCACTGAAGAGATCATGTGATTGTCATGTGCTCAGAATTTATAATGTGTGGCCACCTCATGTGGAAAAATAAAGTGATGCATTTTGGAAATCAAGCCAGTGTGCTAAGAGTCCCGAAAACTTGGTATCTGTATTGTCTGTAAAGCACAGAAACTGAGAAGCCATTGGTTTCTTTGAGTCGTCTGTTCTGTACAGAAAACTCTTACCCAGCTCTTAACACTGTAGCATTTGTGCTAGAACCAGCTTCCTGGCCATTGCTTTGCTGGGAGCTGAGGAAACAGATAACAGGTGTATCCCCATAGATCCTACTGAATGGCTTGAGACTCCGCCTGCTGGGTCCTTTCTCAACCTTTTGCCAACTCCTAATCTCAGAGTCAGGACAACTATGAGTAACAGCATGGTGGTACCCCATTTCCCTCTCACGTTTGCCATGGCCTTTTGCATTTTATTAGAAATATGATGGTCGGATGCTTCATTTGCCCACTCAACAGTTCCAGACTTCTGAGTGATGGTGTCAGAAGGTGGGAGCTGCCAGACCTGGTCTCAGTCCATCCCCTAGGGCATGCTTCAAGATGGTTGGCTTAGACCTTTCAACTGGAAGCTCTTGTGACAAGCAACCAGCTAGTAGCTCACAGCACCTAACTGTGTGTATGAAGACTAGGTCTGAGTACAGGTTAGAAGAGCTGGGACCGGACGCAGCTCTCCCTTCCTCACAGGTGACACCAGTGCTGTATGAGACACTCAGTGGAGGTGAGTGCTGGCCTGGCTTCATGCCTGGCCAGCATTTTCATAAGACTCTCTTAATTTATGGAGATTGCATTGGTTTTCTTTTGAATGGAAAAGTCTTAGTTAAACCCTTTTGTATGAATTGCTACCTTGTTTGTTTAGAACTTTGAAACAATAGTTTCTTACAGAGATCCTGCAACAATGGAATTACTCTTGGAGCACAGGACCTATGGAGCAGAACATGGAGGTGTCTTCTTAGAGTTCCCAATATGCATATACTTGCTGGTTCCTAAATGAAATTGCTGAATTTTTAGTATTTTTATCACCAGTTTTTTGAGTCGTGATTTCACGACCCTCCTGCTTCAGCTTTCTGAGACATGTGCTACCACACCTGATCCCAAGTTCTTCTTCAAAGTGATCTTGACTTGACTTGTGTTGGACATCTTAAGTAACCTGTGAGTTCTTTTGTGGGAGGCTGATTTTCATGAAGTAGCTGAGTTTAATATTTGCGCTGTTTACTAAAGTACCTAACACCAAAATGCACCAACTTGTAGTTTTATGATTGTTGATGAGTTTGTATCATAAATAGAATTGTTGATACATCTTTAATTTGTGCAATATTGTATGTAGAGATTGAGTATCAATTAAAAAACACAACTCCTTGTGGTCCTAATACTGTCTTTTCTTTTGGGGGGAGTTAGCTGCTAAAGCCAGACAGTCAGTTATGCTGCTGTCTCCAAAAGCCTGAGAACACACTGGAGATGATGCTGTCTTGCTTTGCTGCCTGTTTGTGGTACACACACTCACACCCTACCACACCATCTCTCCAACTGACTGTAGTGTGTGTGTATGTGTGTGTGCATGCGTGCGTGTATGCATGCCCCACGACACCATCCCTCCATCTAACACAGATGCTTCCAGTCATTCTCAGGAGAGAATGTCATCCACACTCCAGATGCTTTTCCCTTGGTTGTCTGAGCTTCAGCTTCTCTTCCTTCCAGAAGGTTCTCAGCAGTTCAGATCCAGTAGACTGTCCTGGACTTCACAGCCTAGAGCTCACACATGAACCAGATTCCAGACTGTAACTCTTGTATGTGGAGTACATACGGTTCTCAAGCGGTAGGTCTGACAATATCCTTTTCATACTTGAGAACCTAAAGCATGACAAGAGTAGACTCTTTTATCTAATTAAATTATATAGGGCCTGGTGATGCTCTGAACAGCTACAACATATACTATTTTAATGACCTCTAGGGGTGAGAGGCAGATGGAGGGTGCCCACAAGGTTTGTCCTCTGAGTTGAGTTTTTAAAGACGAGAAATATAGAGGAAAGGGGGAGAATGAACAAAACTAATTGGTTTGAAAAAATGTAGAGAAGCTATGCCCTGAAAAGACCAAGGCACAGGAAGGACAAGGTGGGAGGCCATGAAACAGCCTCTGAGTTCTACAAGGGCATCAGTGTGTACAAGGGAGTCCTCAGAATACAACTGCATTCCACCAGACAAGGTGCAAGCCTACAAGCATAGCATTGGAAGGCTGAGGCCAGAGAATTGAACATTCCAAACCACACCTGGGGTGGCAGGGGGAGGAGGTGGGGGCGGGGCAAGACCTCCCACTTTAAAAATACAACTGGAAGACCAAACAGCATTCAGAAGTATCAGTCTTGTGCTTATACAGCAAAGTGGGCTAGAAGAGGGTAGAAAGGGGCTGTTGCAAAACTCAGACAGGGACCAGAGTGACACAGTTTATGTGGGTACAGCAATACCTACAGTTTGGGCTTGGAGTTTTCTCTTACCCAATATTGAAACGTGGAAGACAGGAACTCAACTGCCTCAGTGTTCTTGCTCCAGAGGTGCATCAGTCTTTCAGACAGAATGGCTCAACCTGTAATCCTAACAACCATGTACTCAAGCCTCAGCCCTGACCAGGAAGGTTCTCACATACCCACACAAACCCTGTGGCACCCCTAAGTGACATGTGGGGCATCATGTTCCAGGAGCCTCACAAGGTGGCAAATCTCTTTCTTCATATAACCTTGGTTAAAAACTTCACTGTCCTAATCAGGAAGCTCTGAAATGAATGGGTCAGGCCACTGTGGTTAAAAATACTCTTTAGTGCATTTCAGAAGGCCAGCCTTCATTGTTCTGGAACATCTCCCAGCCCCCCTCTCTGCACCTACAAGAATGGCTTTTTTTTTTTTCTCAGACAGGAAAGGGAGTAGGAGTGGGGGGAAAAAACCCACAAGATTGGGGGTCTCTGAAATCCTCAGTACTTCCTAGGATTGATTCAGCAGGAAATGCCTCAAAATAGCCTTTCTTGTCATGTTTTGATGTGTAAGCAATCAGACAGGCTCAGCCCAGAATCAGCACAAACACAGCCAGCCTCAGGCATAGTGGTCTAGGATGAAAACTAACCTGGATTTGATCCCGTGGAAGAAAGGAGGAAGATCCATCTGCCCTTGACCTCAACTGGTGTTCTCAAAAGAGAACACAGGGAACAGGGTCACGGACTTGTGACTACACACACATGTTTGAGGTCATGAGCCAATAACCCAAAATTCCAGGGTTTGCTGGCAGAAGCTATAAGAGAAGCATACAAAAAGTCTTTCCCAGCAGCCTTTGGGGGAACATGGGCTTACTGACACCTTCATCAGTCTACTTCCCAGACATGCAGATGAGATTTCTGTTATTATAAAGTGCCTGGCTTGGGGAGGTTTGCGACAGTAGTGCAGTACATGCTGTCTGCCAAATGTCAGAATTTCAGATGCCCCATGTGGTGGTATTGTGTTCCCCAATATATCGTGCACCCTAATAAATTTATCTGGGGTCAGAGAACAGAACAGCTACTAGACAGACTTAGAGGCCAGAAAATGGTGGCACTCACACCTTTAATCCTAGCATTCCGGAGGCAGAGATCCATCCAGATCTCTGTGAGTTCAAAGCCACAGTAGAAACAGCCAGGCATGGTGACTCATTCCTTTAATCCCAGGAAGTGAAGGCAGGAAGCAGAAAGGTATATAAGGCATGAAAACCAGGAACTAGGCCTGGTTAAGATTTTAGGCTTTTGAGCAGCACAGTTCAGCTGAGATTCATTCTGGATGAGGACTGAAAAGTTTCCAGTCTGAGGAAACAGGGCCAGCTAAGGAATTGGCAAGGTGAGGTGGCTGTGGCCTGTTCTGCTTCTCTGATGTTCCAGCATTCACCCCAATACCTGGCTCCAGGTTTGTTTTTATTAATAAGACCTTTTAAGATTCGTGCTACATCTGGCACCCGACTTGTTGGGTACAAATTCTCGATAAAGCTACCTGCCTGTGGCCTTGCGGGCCCCAGCTCAGACCCAAGCTACACATTGCCGGTTGTGGTGGCACGTGCTGGTTGGATTTACTGAAGGAGGCTTGCTAAGGAGAAGCTGCAGCTGGGGCCCAGCCACAAACGGTGACGGTGGGACCATGGAGGCAGCGGCTGCTGCTCCGAGTTACTGCCTGCTTCTCTCCATGTTGGTGACTGCAGTGATGCTGCTACCTGGGACGAAGGGTTCACTGCTGCTTGTTCAGAGAAGAATTGCCAGGACCATCATGTTACAAGAAAGCATCGGTAAAGGTCAGTTTGGAAAAGTTTGGCAAGACAAATGGCAGGGAGAAATTGTGAAGATTTTTCTCTTCTAGGGAAGAATGTTCATGGTTCCAAGAGACAGACATTTATCAGACTGTG